GTGTTAGTGCCTCAATATGGCTATGCTCGTGAAAGCAATACAACGAACTCAAACGCGTCTTCGTTCAATGTTGTCAACTAATATCCGGATTCATTTTATGCAAATTTTCCTCAATTCTCCGGAGAAATTTTCATAAAAATTTGAAAAACCCGGAATTCCGGGAAAATCCGGAGGACTTTCATCTCTGATAAAGTCTGCATTTAAAAAATAAAATAAAACCACAGCTCTCCTTTTTTCAACAAATACAGGTGCATCTTTGTCCGTCTCCGTGCCTTCTCTTCTTTCGTTCAACTCGAGAGGTGTTCATGACCGCCTCCGAAAAACACATTGGCATTTCCTTGGTCATAGCTCCAAAAGAACTATCAGATGTCAGTAGTAATTTATTACTTTGTTGTGTATTCACAAATGATGAAATCACAATATCAATTCTGTAGGGGGGGGGGCCTGTAGAATTTATTTTGTGATATCCTCGCTTGCTTTTTTTCAGTTTTGATGTATTATTATCAATTTTCGTAGTTTCACTGAAGTAATCGTTAGTTCACGTTTTTCGGAGGCGGTCCTGAACGCCTCTCGAGTCGAACTGAAGAAGGCAAGGAGACAGACAAAGACGTACCTGCATTTGTTGAGACTGTTTTAAAAAAACAACACCACAGCTCTCCTTTTTTCGGAGCTGCAACAAAAACTTATTTAATAAAGCAGCGACACAGTTCACTGAACCAACAGCAAGTTAAAACATTGTAAGCATGTCTCCAGCAAGGAGCCATCTTGGGGTAGACATATTACCGTAATGACCATACACAGGACGCACCAGATTTTAAGGCGCTCAGTGAGCTTTTAAGAAAATGGAAGACTTTTTGGTGCGGCCTATAGTGCGGAAAATACGGTACATGTTGTGTGGATGCAAAAGACAACAAAAATTATGCATTGTGATGAGGTGTAGCCGAATTTCTTCAGATAATATACTCAGTGGGGTGTGCATCTTTCCAATACAATACAACTAGATATGGATCTTGATACGTTTTCAAATGGAATGATTCGGTTTGCTTTGATTCACTGGAGTTACGATTCAATTCAATATGGTATGGCTATTGCTTTTGTCATGGTTATTTACATGCAAAATCTCTCCAAAGAGCAAACAATTGAAGTTAATCAAATTCAAACCAATTTGTACCTGGTGTGCAGCTCTCCTGAAAGACGATGCAATCTCGATTTATGGGCTGTGATACGTTTCAAGGACGCCACATTTTAAAATGATTTAATTCAGTTTGGTTGAATCGAAACCACGTTTCTGATTCAAATCGGTTTTTCGCGACACCCTTCATATTCAGTTGTTTCTGAAGTTAAGAAGTCTGATCAAAAGAACTGGTTAGCTGTCTTAAATTACATTGGAAAATTTCAAAAGCGAAACATCAAAACTAACTGGATTGGTATCCCAAAGCGCCTGTCCAAATAACATGTTTTTGTCAAAATTTGCAGCCATCACTCTCCTGGATTTGGTTTAGACCAGTGGTTTTTAACATGGGTTCAATCGAACCCAAGGGGTTCGGGGAATCAGTCTCATACATACTCAATACAATTCGACTGAGACTCTGCCATGGAGGTTAAGATACACCCGACTCAACATGTCAATTAGTTATTACACGCCATCACTGGCTGCAGTTGATCACATTACATTGCTTGTCCAATCAGTGCTGCTGGAAATTTCGTTTGCTCAGTTGTCAATTTGTGACTGTCGTGATAGTAAAAAAAATGTTTGAAGACATGCTATGTCGAGCAAAAAAAGAAAGTGGACAACATGGATTCACATCCATCACGGAACATGAAGGGACTCAGCATCCTATCTGCATGATTTGTCATGCCAAGTTGAGCAACTTCAGTCTCGCACCGTCAAAACTGAAGGAACACTTCTCGAATCATGTTTTTATTTTTCACTAAGAGTTCGGTGGATGTGCATAGAAACTGGTTGGGTTCGGTACCTGTAACAAGATTAAACATACGGCATGCATGCACGCACGCTAAAAACACGTTAGCTTGAAGCATACGGTAGCATGCATGCACACTAAAACAAACCAGGTATGTTAGCTTAAAGCATACGGTAGCAGCTAAGACATACGGACACACGCTAAAAACACGTTTTTAAAAAGGCAACGGAAACAAAACTGATTTTGGTTGTACTTTATTTAGCCATTTTACAATGTACTCACGCGACTGGTACCTGCTAGGGGCGTGCCTTTAGCGTCCTCTTACACGCCTACCCTTCACTCATTGGCGACTGGTACCTGCTAGGAGCGTGCCTTTAGCGTGCTCTTACACGCCCACCCTTCACTCATTAGCGGACTTCCGCATGCATGTCGTCACTCACGTCCGCCTTTTCTTTATAAACAGCGTGTAGGCCAGAAGTGCTCTCAGTCAGGCTTTGGAACTCGGCGCATACACTAGACCAGTGTTTTTCAACCGGTGTGCCGCGGCACACTGGTGTGTCGCGAGACATTGTCAGGTGTGCCGCGGGAAAATATCCAATTTTTATGCCTGTGCGGTCTTTCGCCCTGAAAATAATCATGTAGTACCCTCCCATACCGCTAGAGAGCAGCAACAGCTAGCCAATTGCCTTGTGTTACGGCGAGAGACACGCGAATTTGTGACGCATGAATGCAGGACGACGGTGAAACAATAAATATGAAAGATGATAAAATACTGTTTTCTTTGCGTTCATTAGATTCCAGTTCAAGCTGTCATAACGTCATTCTTCAATGTTAAAAACGGTTATAGTAACAATATAACACGTTAGTTGGTAAAATAAGCGCGGGGGGGGGGGGATCACATTTTCAGCTAGTGGTGTGCCGCGAGATTTTTTCAATGAAAAAAAGTCAAAAAGTTCCAAAAAACCCTGATCTAAACAGCCCCAGGTTTCACACTGATTGAGTATAAATATATTGAGAAATTATATTTTAATTAAATACACTGTTCAGAGTGTCATTTTATCACATTTTTGGTTAGTGGTGTGCCGCAAAATTTTTCCAATGTAAAAAACGTGCCCTGGCTCAAAAAAGGTTGAAAAACACTGCACTAGACGCTCCGCATTATAAGGCGTCCTGTCCATTTTGGAGAAAATTTAAGACTTTTAATGGCGCCTTATAGTCGTGAAAATACGGTAGTCTAAAGCCGGTACCCCAATGAGGGGCCAACGTTTGTGAGTGTATGAAAATGTTCAAGTTTCCTTAGAACATAACAAAACCATCAAAAATGTTGGCAAACATTTGGTGAATATTTGCGACTGAGAAGGATCGATGATGAGAACTCAACATCCGCTAACTCCGACAACATTCACAAACTTTCGGCCCTCAGTGGCATACAGGCTTAAGGGCCAATTGGAGTGGTCCCAAGACATTCTTCCAACACGCTTTGGTTTACCAAAGTGTGACCAGGAAACAAAAACAGCAGAGGATGAATTGACGGTTGTCGAGCAGCAAAAGCAGAAATGATGAATATGTGAATGGCAGTCAAAAGTGGCAGAAGAGATGTTTAGTATTCTCACATTGTTGGAGCGCAGGGAGACTCGGCCTCCACAACGGGCACAGAATTTGGTTTGGCAGTAGGAGCACAAGTGACCGCAGCCATCTGCAAACTTGGTCTTACGGCAAATGCCGCAGGTGGGTGCGTCATCCTTTTGCTGGGTCTGCTGACGCCGTGTCTCCGCCCCGATGCGACGCACCTCCTGTTTATAGCTCTCAAACTGCTGGTGCAGTGTTCTGTGAGAAAAGGAGAGGAACTTTTTATCAAGTTGACAAACTTCATAGATCCTTTTTAAACATCCTCCTAAATAAAAGTGACAAATATTTTAGGAATAGATGAATGACGTACAAAAAAATACAACTGAGACTTTGGCCCAGTTTAATTCTTTAGTAGGGCTTCAGGAGTTCAGTTTCTTACTCAAGGACACGACAACATGGTCCCAAGCGCAGAGGATCGAACCCACAACCTCTGCGTTCGATCCGGACAACCACTATACCACTGAACCATACTGCCCATTATGACAATGTCACCCTCACAGTGAAAACCCTCTCTGATGAGTCACTTAGATGATGGAGGGGTATTTGTAGCCTAAATTCTTCAGCCATGGGAAGCAGACTTCATGCTGCTCTATGGTTTGGGGAATTTCTGGGCACTTTTATTGTGAAGTCACACCAGCGGAAGTAGTCAGCGAAAAAAAGTGTCACACTGTCACTTGACGGGAACAAACCCCGGTGAAGTGTGTCATCCATTTGGATGAACTAGAGTCTGGATTGGATGTACTTTATCTCAACAGCTGCCGCCAACATTGAAGTGGATCACTGTGTGGATAAAGGACTGCTTTCACATCGTAAAAGAGGGCACAATGTCGAGTCCCTTCACCACATTGAAAGAAATGGTGTGTTGAATTTACACTTTTTTTTCCATCAGGTGGTTGCACACAATAACATCATTTGGATTTCATTCAAAATCTAATTTTTTTTCAGTGCAGGCTTTTTTCTTGTCATAAGCAAAGCAATGGGAAGTTATTATATTAAATGTTTGTTTCTTCCTGCTAGTTTTCCCTTTGGTGCTACTCGTTTTGATTTCAACAGTCGTTACACATAGTTTGTTTTAGACTGTTGCATTGTTTCTAATTTTGCAAACTCAAACCAACTCCACTAAGGAATTTTGAATGTGTTCAAAATTCCTCTGCGACAAGGAAAAAAACACTAAAACTGTTGTCGAACGTCTGGCGGAACGTTTTGCGAACGTGTGGAACGTTTTGCGAACATTTGCGACCTTGAACAAACACAGATGAACTCTCACGGAAATGCGCATTTTTCTACATTCGTCAACAGTTGCAGTTGTTCGCCTCTGAGTGGGATAGAGGCTTTAGTAAAGAAGCTTCTCTCTTTTAGCCGCCCCGTCTTTAAAACAGTGCGCGTCAGAAGGCTACAGAAACCACGAAAGGGAAGAAACACATTTTTTTGTGATACCTGCCCCTTCAAAAAAAAAAAACTGACAAAGAAACAACAATTTAGAGGTTAAATTGATTAATGTCCCAGTCCTACAAGTACCAATTCTTTGCTCAAAAATAGTGGATTTTCACTCAGGCAACCAAATACGTCATGGGCAGAGAAACTCAGTGTGGGGAGCAGCATTTTGTCAATTGGCCAAAGTGTTCCAAACATATTTGAATCAGCTTCTCACTCACATTTTTGGGAAATGGGCAGCTTTCAATATAAACATTTCCATGGTTGTATAATTTCACCACATGGGTGGGAAGGCACTCCAGAGACCAAACTATTCATATTCAAGGAAATTAAAATTTATTTCTTTTTCTATAATATGTACCCTGTTCAGGGATCTGGTTTGGATTTAAATAATTATTATTGGACATTTGAATTTGGGCAAACCTCATGTAAATCTATCTAGACGGAATTGAAATGGTAGCTACATTAACATGACCTTTGACCGCAGGCAGCTATCTATCCTGCCAGTGGGAACCCAGGGCTCAGCCAAGTCCAAGCTCCATGGGAACAGCTGTCAGAAACAGAGGGTTCACGGTCGGTTGTCATGGTAACATTGTGGCGTCAACTGCTCGGTGTCAGCGGGTGTCGGTGTATCAGCTGTTGCCGTTCTTAGAGACACATTTTCCTTATGCTTTTATACTGCTTACAGCACATAAAGCTGCACAAAGCACTTTTTTGTAAGATAAATAAATTAATAAATTACAGCGTCATTTTGATAGAGATATCAATGTCAACTGATATAAATATTTACAAATAAAAATATTTACAAATAAAAAATCTGACTCAAAACATTGAAAAGCAATTTTTCAGTCTGTTAGCTGTTGGTAAAATATTGTGCTTGCACCCTCCCCTTTCAAGTTCAAGTTCAAGTCAACTTTATTTTCAAATGTGCTACATGTGCAACATTCAACACAGATGACATGTCTTTCCTCAGGAGAGAGAGGAGCGGCCATGGGTGCCCGCGCCGCCATCAAAAGAACAGTTAACATAAAATGACAAAATAATACAACACAACACATAAGACACAGACAGTCGTGCAATCTTAACCACTTTTTCTGCATACACTTTGTTGTTTGAAGCAGTTATAGACGAAAGAGGATCAAAGATCCAGGGGATCAAAGACATCATGCTGAAAATGCTAAGTTTGAAAGCAAACAAGAATCTGTAGCGTCCATTGACGAAAAAAGAGATTGGCTCACATCTCCTGTCCCATGTAAATCCGCTTCAATTCCAAGCCGCGACTCCCAGTTCCACATATGCATCGGCGCTCTGCGCTGACGCTCTTTTCTTCTCATCGTCGGCTCCACAAGCCATCCATCCATCCACCCGCAGACTGTCCAACAGCACCGACCTTTCCGCTGAACAAAGCGGGGCTGTGAAAAATGCTGCCCCTTTCAGGTGCAACAACCACAAGCGCTCCCTAGCTGTCCAGCAACAACAGTTAGATGGCGCCGACATTCGTCCCAATCAAAATCAGTGCCGGTACACGTGTGCTGCCGAGAAGGCACAACCACCAAGCACAAATGCTTCTCCTTTGACGAACGTCGTGGCCAAAAAAATGCTGAAAACAATCCACAGCAGGTCCACACGACGTAACAACAAACACAATGTGACAAAACAAAAGACAAAAACAACAAAAAAGCAAAGTGTCCTGCTTTTTTGTTGTAGGCACTTGCTGACGGCTGCCTACTTGGGCGCCATCTTGGAAAAAAAGGTTTGCACATGTCCTGCAACTCTGGGGGCGGGGCCTCCTTGCCATAAAAGATGAACATTCCGAAGGTTTTTTAGAGACCCGTGGAAGACAGAATCCAGAGCCTCTATAAATAACACTTGAGAAAAAGAGATGATGGAAAGACGACAGAAATGGGATGATATGGTTTTCTTTTCATATCTAAAATATTGGGGCGATTACCAGCAAACCGCCAGGTTTCCCATTTTGTCTCCCTCTGTTGGTCATTGTTTTGTTTATGTTCCTCTGGACGGTTTGTAATTGGGAAAGTAAATTCTTTGTGTGTTTTACATACTTGGCCAATAAATCTGATTCTGATTCCGAAGATCATACTCCTGTAATCTTGTTTTATTACTTTTATTGAAGACCAACAGATGTTTGATGAAGCAAATGCCAAGCTCATTTTTGTGTGTTTTCTTTTCAGCCATGATGCTATGGTGACGTTCACATATCTGCTTCTCTCTTCTGTTTAAAGGATTTAAAATGTTAACTTCAGACTGCAAGCAGAATTAAAGCTCCCAGATGGCCCTTCTGTGTTTATCTGGCAGGCAAGAGTTTCTCAAACATTCTGTTCTATCCTCCCTGTCTTGATTGGGCTTGATTCTTAAACAACCCAACTACAAGTAATCATCTACTCATAAAAAAATCTTCTACCACTCAAATCTTTGTTGACTTGATGATAGCATAAGAGAAGGGCACCAACTGCTAATCTAAACGACACTGAGTATGAGACCACATTCGTTTATATTTGACCTTTCATCCACAAGTTTTTGATGACAAAAGTTGATGGGAGGCAAGGGGTGGGGGTGGGCGGGGGTTGGCGGGGTACCGTTGTCTTATTGCCAGTTAATCGTAGAGACACAATCGTAGACAAAAGATCAGTTACACTTTGCATCCACACGTCATCGATAAGGTAAAACAAACCTGCACGCGTCACTAAGCTGCCTCAAAATGGGCTGATTTCAGCTTTTGTTCCCCCTTAGTGAACAATCCCAACGCTTGGTGGATTCTACTTTACAATGAGAGGAAGAGCCACATCAAAGGGTAAAAGCAATGAAAGCGTGTTCACCACGAGTCTGTCAAGAAAATTGAGAGGCTTCATTTAATTAGGTTTTGGGAATGTGGCAGTCAGCCGTGTACCTGGAGGAAAAGCCATTCAAAAAAAAGGGTCAAGAAGCAAACTTTGCATCGGAGGGTCAGAACCGACATTCAAACCACAAATATCACCCACGAGGACACAATGGCTGTCTTGTGGTAAGTAAATACAATGTAAAACTACTAATAAATACAGTCAGTCAGATTTACCAAGGTCTATGTTGAAAAGTGCATTTTTGGGATGTGTTTCTGTCACATTTGTTGCCCCCTCACTTTCATTTTTGGTTTGTTTTGTTTGTTTCTTTCTTTTTTTACCATTAACATTCCCCCTCCTCAACCATCCATCCTACCATCCATCCATTATCTGAGCCGCTTATCCTCACCGGTCGTCTTCAACCAACATTATTTATCAGCCCTCTAACCATCAAGTAAAAAAAAAAAACGACAACAACAACATTATTTTAAAACCTAGTAATTGGTAAATAACATATCATTGATACAGTGTCTGATTAAAATGTTGCCATATAATTCCCTTACATGCAAACACACATGGACACAGAAATCTATCACTTTAACATACAAAACCTCTGATCTCACACAGCCAGCTGGGGAGTGCTTGTGGAGTAATCACGAGCACTGTATAATCCCCTAACTCTATCTCAGAAACCTCAGCGAGCTTTGTTGAAAGAAGACACACAAACGCACATGCATGCACGGCTGTACAGCCGCACGCAGGCACACTCACACACACACACACACACACACACACACACACACACACACACACACACACACACACACACACACACACACACACACACACACAAACTCAACCACCCACTTCCACTTATATTTCTCCCTCCCTTCAGTTCATAATCTGCAGCTATGGCATTAAATGTAT